TTTTTTGTTTTTAATTTTTTTAATTCTATTATATATAAATAAAATCTGTTATAAAAACTAATCTTTTGATTATTTTTTTTTGAATTAATCTTTTTGATTGATTCATCTTTTACGAATTTTTAATTTAAAATTTATGTTATTTTAAATTTATTTTTTAAAATTTATTTGTTCACATAGAGGTACCAAAACGTTTTAATTATCATGGGTATTAGGAGTATTTTTCTCTTGTTTTTCACCTCAATCCAACCACATTTTTGATGGTGGACAATATCTCCATTCCATTTGTCTATATAACAAGGTCACAATTCAACCTGATTCATTTAACAACATCGGCAACTATTCACACTCTTCGGAGGATCCAACGCACCAAGCCGAACCAATGTCTGCTCCTGAATCGGTTGTTCATGTGGCTTTCCTCCCAAGTGCTGGCATGGGACACCTTAACCCATGTCTGAGGATAGCAGCATTGTTCCTCCGCCATGGTTGCAAAGTCACTCTCATCACTCCCAAACCCACTGTTTCCACCGCAGAGTCTAACCTCATCTCTCGCTTCTGTTCCTCTTTCACTCACCAAGTAACCCAAATTGACTTAAACCTCACCACGGTGGATCCAACCACGGTTAACACTAACGACCCTTTTTGGCTTCAGTACGAAACCATTCGTCGTTCGGTTCATCTTGTAGCTCCAATCCTATCTTCCCTTTCAACACCTCTCACTGCTTTCATCTACGATGTTTTCTTAATCTCTCCCTTACTTCCAATCACTCAGAAACTCTCTTGTCCACGTTACATCTACTTCACCTCAGCATCTAGAATGCTCTCTTTCTTCGCACACCTTTCTGTTCTTACTGCTTCAGATCCAACTTCACAACCACACCCTTCTTCATTCATTCGTGATGTGGTTAAAATCCCTGGCATAGCATCACCGATACCAAGATCCTCGCTCCCTCCTCCGCTCCTTCAACCTAACTCTCTCTTCGAGAGCATGTTCATGGAGGACAGTGGCAAACTCGCGAAGCTTGACGGGGTTTTCATCAACTCGTTTGAAGAACTCGAAGGAGAGGCACTAGCAGCACTGAACCAAGGAAAAGTTGTTAAAGGGTTGCCTCCGGTGTACGGTGTTGGTCCCATAATGGCGTGTGAATTTGAGAATGAGGAACAAGGTCAAAGGGGTTGCATGGGTTCGATATTGGAGTGGCTTGATGGAAAAAGTGAAGGGTCGGTGGTGTATGTTAGTTTGGGGAGCAGAACTGAGACGAGGAGGGAGCAGATAAAAGACATGGCTTTGGGTTTGATAGAAAGTGGGTATAGCTTTTTGTGGGTGGTGAAGTTGAAGGTTGTTGATAAAGAAGAGGAGGAGGGTTTGGAGGATGTGTTGGGGAGTGAGTTGATGAATAAGGTGAAGGAAAAGGGTGTGGTTGTGAAGGAGTTTGTGGATCAGATGGGGATTCTAGGCCACCCTTCAGTGGGGGGCTTTGTGAGTCATGGAGGGTGGAACTCAGTAATAGAGAGTGTGTGGGAAGGAGTGCCTATTCTGACATGGCCTCAGGGTGGGGATCAGAAGATAACATCAGAGGCAGTGAGGATAAATGGTGTGGGAATTTGGCCTCAGGAGTGGGGGTGGGGATCAGAGCATGTTGTGAAATGGAAAGAGATTGCTGACAGAATCAAAGAGATGATGGGGAATGAATCTCTGAGGGTCAAAGCCGAAGAAATGAAGAAGGCTGCTAGAAATGCTGCTGGTGTTGGTGGGAGTTGTGAGGTTATTGTTAAGAAGCTAATTGATGAATGGAAGAAAAATGTTCAAGCTACCTGAGTATGTTCTCAAGATTATCTACTTCCAAGTTCCAACTCTGAACATGTTTTCTGATTTAAAGAGAAATATTCTTCCATCAACCATCCCCACTTACTAGCTGACCATTTTGTCAATTTTGCTAAGGATATCTTGAATGGGAGTTGTGTTTTTTCGTTTTTACTTGTTTTACCTAAATTGCTATGGTTTAGTTAGATTTTATAACTTAAATTGTTATGTTTATTTGGCTATCCAAACCATATTAATTTTTATTTATTTTGACTTGCTACACTTAAATGATATGGGGTATTTAGATTTTATAATTTGATTAGTTTTGTTGTATATATTTAGCTGTTCAAACCGTATTAGCTTTTATCTTTTCGGCGGCTGGATGCACCTAAACAACTTATGTGTGAGTAAAAATGAATTATCCAATTCATTAAACAGTTTAAAAAGTATTTTCTTTAATAAAGTGAAGTTTATGGTTTTATTCCATTTACTAATCTCTATTGTCTATTACTATATGGATCAAAAGTGAAAATTTTATGAAATTACAGAGATTAACAATCGGTTGAGAAACATTGACTAGTCCTCAAGTGCCACAGGATGCCTTTCCCCTTATGAAACACAAGAATTATGTGCACAAGTGTTAATTTAATGCCTCCTTTACCACTCTCAGATATTCAATGAAGCCGAAAGGGTGGATTATGAGCATATCGCTTTATTGCTGAGTGAATTGGAAGGGAAGTATGAGATGTTCAACAAGAGATTTCTCAGCTCCGACCAGTATTAATTAGCCTTAACCATTCTCTGAATGAACAGAATCACAAAACGGTTGACCTGTATCAATAGGCGCTGAAGTTAGATGGAGAGACTGGCACATTGTTGAAACAAAAAACTATTATTAACCACCTTTGAGAACCCCATAAGAGAACTTGGAACTTATTTGAATACAAGTTAAAATCATTTTTAAAATTTTATCCATCCAAAATAGAGTATTTTCTGATAAAAAAGTTCTTTCTTCTATGAATAACTGGTTATGTCATTGCTGCTAGCTTGTTGCCAAATGTACAATTATTCACTTTTTATTTTCGTGTATGCTTGGGTAATATTAATTTATTCAAGAATCGTTCATTGATACTTTTACTATGTTCGTTCTCGTGCAATCGATTAGCCGATGGCTAACTATAAACTGTCGCTCCCAAGTTGTTGACCCAACTTAAACTAATTTGTTATCGATTAAATTGGTTTCTTTTGATTCAATTAGAAAAGGGGCACACATCTAGCCCAAGTGTCCAACCCAACATGAAGTATTTTGATTGGTTTCGTGTAATAAGTTTAGTCAAATCCAGCTCCACCTCATTAATATATTGATAACTTAAATATATTTTTAGTCTTTTAAATTTAAGATAAATTTATTTTTGATCTCTCAAATTTAAAATTATTATTTTTAGTTCCTGTAATTTTTAAAAATCTTGTTTTAGTTCCTTAAGTCACCAATAACATATTTGAAAGTAACTAATTAAGACAGTTACTTAATATCAACCAGGTTTAATGTGGTATTTTCACTAATAGAGACACGAATAGGTAGATTTTATTCAATTATGTTTGATAAATTTCTTAATAAAATTTGAATATAATGACTAAAATAAAATTTTTTGAAATTACAGGAATTAAAATAACAATTTTAAATTTAAGAGACCAAAAAAAAATTTACCCTTAATTTGAGGGACTAAAAACATATTTAGTCCATATTAGTGAAAATATCACATTAAACCTGGTTGATATTAAGTAATTGTCTTAATTAGTCACTTTCAAGTATGTTATTGGTGATTTAAGGGACTAAAATAAGATTTATTAAAATTACAGGGACTAAAAATAATAATTTTAAATTTGAGGGATCAAAAACAAATTTATCCTTAATTTAAGGGACTAAAAATATATTTAAGCCTATATTGATATACACCTCTGTTTATGAAAGAAAGAAAAAAAATACAATTTTAAAAATCAGAAGAAGGACAATTAATGTAATTTAAATACGTCTTTGAAAAGGAATATGTAATATAAGAAAAAATATAGGAGAAAGAGTAATCAATCATGCTAAATTTTATTTTTTTATTTTTTTAAATAAATACCATAAAATTTTATTTTATTTTAATCAATTCTTAAATTTTATTTGATTTGAAAATAGACATTATTAATTTTAATTTTGTTTCAATAAATTTTTAAGTTTTATTTTTCTTTTACAAATAAACATCCTCAACTTTAATTTCATTCTAATTGATTTTTATATTTGATATTTGATAATTTATTATTTTTACAAAGTTTTTCATATTATCAATTTAGAATTAAATTATTTATCTTAAATATCAAACATTCACTAATCTTTTTATTTTTTATGTTTCAATTATTTTTTTTCTTTAAAATATAATAAAAATATTGTAACGACCCGTCATGATCTCTAAATTTAGTGGAATCGAACTACTACTAGTAAACTAAGAGAAATATTAAAATTGGACAAGTCATACATACAGATATACATATAAGAATAAAAATAACTAAGTTTCTATTTACAAAATATAACATCATATATGTACAGTCATCCAAAATAACATCACCCTAGTGCCAGTCAAGCACAACCAATAGCTACTTAAAAGGTAACTCTAACACTAGGACAAAACTCCTCAACTCGCAACAGTCACCTCAACTCCAAGCTAGTCCTGACCTGCTCCCATACAAAGTATGATCATCGCAGTCCAACCACATGAAAACAAAAAGGTAAGCTAGAGTTCAAAAACAACCATACAAGCATAAGAATAAATATCTATGCTACTCAACTATCAAATCATCCAATCATGAAGTCAAATACCATACACTTCATCATACAACATTCATGCAATTAAGCAACACATGAAAGACATCAAATGCATATCTATCATCTAATGCGTCGTCACGCATACACCTAAGAGGTCTCCCTAACAGCAGAGCAGTATAAGTGACATCCTAATTATACCGAAACCACCCCAACTATTTTCATGCCCAATGCGCCCGCTCGGTCACAATTAAATAGGATATAAATTCTCACTCAGGTTTACTCGGATGATGTCACTTACACAATTGGAAGTCCGGTTCCACCGTCAAGTATAGCATAGCTGGGTATAGGCTTACCACGACCTTGGCATGCATTACCAAGTCACTTGTGGAGTTCACCCACCGACTATCCGCAAGGAACCACACACCTTCCCTAGGACTTGGTTAAGGGAATAATCCTCGACCTCATATTCCGCTCCAACACTAGCTAAGGACTTAGAGGAGACTCACCCAAACCAATGGTCTACCTGAGCACCACTCTCACCCAAAACTAGTGGCCTACTTGAGCACCACTCTCATTTATAACAGTGACCTATCCAAGCACCACTCTCAAAAGACTATGTGAGCTCTTTCAGTTCGAAAATATTTTCCTCTCCTCAAGCCTTAGGCTAGACACATGCCATAAGGCATCACATGGAATAATGCATCATACATCATACATGGTCAATCCACCATCATGATCAATAATCATACTCATATGAACATATACTGGTGTCATATCATATTTAAACATTCATACATATCATTACCAAGCATACATATGAATCATACACCACCATACATCATATATCATACATACATGATCAAATCTTCAACTATTAAACATGCACAACCATTTTTTTCAATCAAACGCATCAAGCACGTTCACGCCCGGTGCAACCAATTCACGCCGGCCTAATTTCCAACCCGAGAGCCCTAAGCTCCTCCACGCCCGACGCGCTCAACCTGCGCCCAACCGAAACCCAACCAGAGAGTTCTAAAACTCCTCTACACCCAGCATGAAGTTGCCACACCCGACGTCCTTGAAACAGAGACTCATAAGAGTCTCCACACCTGGCGCGCTCACCCTGCGCCCAATGTCATCCACACAAAGACCTTCAAAGGTCTCTATGCCCTATGCGTCAACCTTGCACCCGACGCCCCATCAATAAAAATAACAAGCAACTTCATTATTTGATATCGCGCCTGGCGTGGTTCTTCCCACGCCCAGCGCGACTAACCTCGCTCCCAATGTGATCAAGAAATAGGTGCTCTGATGAATGCACGCCTGGTGCCAAGAACTGTGCCTGACACAAATTCAAACAGAAGCCTCCAAAGCTTCGAAAGTTTCCTCCAACACCTGAAAATCAGAAAACCCAACCACATGCAAACCGCACTAACTGTGCTCCACCCTGAGGAGTAGCAAGACGAGGTCCCCTACTAACAACACTTCTCTAAGACTAAACAGGCCTATCATAGGGTCCCCTCTGTTGGCCTCCGGTCCTGGATCCTAATGATCCATCCTGTACTCTCACAGCCTTGTTGCCTTCACCACCACCTTCCAGTCTCTCAATTGTCTTTGCCTTCTCAACCAAGGCAGGAAACTCCACAATGGACATAGGGACTATGACCCTCTTTAGCTCATGTCTCAACCCCTTTGCGAAATTACTACATCTCCAAGCCTTAGATATGGCCTAAGAGTAGAAACAGGCCAGGTGCTCAAACCTCATGGCATACTCAAAAATAGACATGCTCCCTTGCTGCAGTCTCATGAACTCAATCTCCTTAGGATATCTAATGCTATCTGGGAAATAATTCTCCAAAAAGACTCTCCTAAAGCAATCCCAATCAACCAACACACCTCTACCCTCCATCATCTGCTTGGTGCCTCTCCACTAGTACTTAGCCTCGCCTGCTAGCATGTAAACTACATAGGCCAACTTCCTCTCCTTAGAAGATCCCAAGACACTGAAGATCTTTTCTATCTCACTCAACCACTGATCTTCCACATCAGTATCTGAATCCCCCTTGAACTGAGGAGGCTGACATCTCCTGAACTCTCCAAATCTCTCCCATCTTGAGAGACCACCGGTCTATCTGCCTCAGCCACAACTCTACTTGCCTCCATCTAAGCAAGGTGAGCACTCTGCTGCTGCATTGCCATGGCCATCATCTCTATGGCCCTAGCGATCTGATCATACTAAGGCCTCACCATACTGAAAGAATTCAAACATTCTTTTAGTAATAGTATACCACCATAAATCACCAAAACTAACACATATCATAGATGTGACACAACAGAAACCTAGAAGGATCACTCTCCACAAAGTATCTAAAAGACTTGACCGGCCCTAATACCATAAAAGTGTAACGACCCGTCATGGTCTTTACACTTAGTGGAATTGCACTACTACTAGTGAACTAAGAGAAATACTAAAATAGGACAAGTCATACATACAGATATACATATAAGAAT